AGAGCTTTAAAATAAGCCAAGTTGCCTCGCAAAAAGTTGGATAGAAATGAATCTGCGCAATCATGTAAGTTGAACCGCAAAGCTTCCATCTTGGGTTCCTTTGCGAGCTCGTCCTTTCTGCTTGTACTGTTCATAGCGCGTACAATGTTATGCCGAAGCGCACATTTTGCGAGTACCTGCAAATGCTTCAAGCGAAAATTGCGAAAGCAAACAAACAGACAAACATACCATTCACACGCAAATGCATTCGCACACGCATACTCGTACAAACAGACGGCAGGATGTCGTGCAATGTGAATTTGCACCCAACACACTCCCCCTCAGCTTGCCGGCTGCATCCCCATCATTCCATACTAGTTCATGCTCATTCCACTCATGCGCACACAACGCCAATGAGACTCATCCGCAAGACTCTTGGTGAGGAAGTCTGCTGGCTGCTGGTAAGTCTTGATGAAGATCGGATTCACCGTCCCCCTCTTCACCTCCTTACGCAGCCAGTGCCACTTGATACGCATGTGCTTATTCAGCCCATGAAGCACAGCGTTCCTGGCCATCCCAAGAGCTCCCTTGCTATCACAAAACAGCGGCGTAGCAACCTTTTGCTCCTGGCCAATCTCCTCCAACAGCCTCCTCAGCCAAATCACCTCCTTCACCCCATGGAACATCGCCATGTACTCTGATTCCACGGAAGAGAGTGCTGTCTCCGTCTGCTTCTTTGACCTCCAACTAACTGGTCCTCCCCCAACTACGCAGATGTATCCTCCCACAGATGAGGAATCCTCCTTCTCAGAGGCCCACGTAGCATCAGTAAAGCAAGTAAGAAAAAGCTTGCCTTCTCCAAGCCTCTCCCCCTTCTCTTTCAGCACCTCAACCCCTTTCTGCTTCACCTGTGCAGATGCGGAGTATTGAACTCCAATGCTTGGGTGAGAGTTCAGATACTTCACCACACGCTCAGCTGCATCCACCTGCTCCTCTGATGGATTCTGCACTACCCTAGCCAGCTGCCCAACCGAGAAAGAGATGTCGGGTCTCGTGTGAACTGCTGCATACAAGAGGCTGCCCACCAAGGACTGAAATTGCTGCTGCTCCTCGGCTTCAACCCCTTCATCCTCTGCAGCTTTCACAAGCTTGAATTCTGCTGGCAGGGGAGTTGCAACCTTGCGCTCATTCTCAATTCCGTACTTCTCCCCAAGCTCCTTGATGAACTTCTCCTGGTGCAGCTTCAACCACCTGTGATCCAGATCCCTCTCCACGTGCATCCCGAGGTAGTACTTTACCTCCCCAAGGTTCTTGCACTTGAAGTTCTCCATCAGCTGCTGCTGCACCTTCTGGATCTCCTTCATGCTGCTGCTAAAGAGAAGAATGTCGTCCACATAGACCAGAAACAGCACCACCTTCTCCCCCTCCCTCTTGAGAAAGAGGCTCTCATCACAGCTGCTGGTCCTGAATCCCATCTCCTCTAAAACAGCTGCCAACTTCTGGTACCAGCAGCGTGGCGCCTGCTTCAAGCCGTAGATGGACTTTTTCAGCTTGCACACCCTGTCCGTACCATCCTCATACCCAGGTGGCTGCGTCATGAACACCTCCTCCTCTAAAATCCCGTTGAGAAATGCCGTTGATATGTCCATCTGGATAATGAACTTCCCACTAACGGCTGCATCTGCCAACAAGACACGAAGGGTAGGGGGTTTGGCAGTGGGAGCAAAGATCTCATTGAAGTCCCGCTTCTCCTTCTGCATAAACCCCTTAGCCACCAGCCTACTCTTGTAGATGGTGACCTCCCCCTTGTCGTCTGTCTTGATCCTTAGTACCCACTTGCATTGTACCGCTTTCTTTCCCTCAGGCAGCACCACTAGTTCCCAAGTCCCATTATCCAGCAGGCTCTGGTACTCAGCATCCCTAGAAGCCAGCCATTTGTCCCTATCTGGTCCAGCTAATGCCTCCTCCATGCTAGCTGGTTCCTCTGGTGCAGGGGCAAGAAAACAGTACGCAGGCTCATCCTCCTCATCCGGGTCATAGCCATGCGGTAGAATCAGCAAGGCCTCCTCGGTCCCAAGCTGCTGCTCCGCTACATCAGCTCCTGCAGTCAGCTTCTTAGTAGCCATACGGGTACGTCCTGGCCTGGAGACGGGTGTCTCCCATCCCTTCATAACAACACCCTTCGGCTTCTTAGTTTTCCCCTGCTCTCCTCCCTCGGATCCAGTAGCTCCACTAGTGCTACCGCTAGTCTCCACACCATTGTTTTCACCGGCAGGTGCCTCCTGCACCTTCTCTCCAGCACCACCTTCTGCAGCTGCCTCCTCTCCCTCCTCCCACACACTAGGAGTCAGGTCCAGCTGCATGGTGATCTGCTCCATCTGCTGGGACACCCTGGCCTCCGGCTGTTTCTCCCAACTCCCATACATCATGCCCTCAACAAACTTCACATCCCTGCTGTCAAACAACACACCCTTGGAAGGTTCCCACAGCAGCCATCCCTTGCTCTCAGCAGCCAGCCCCAAATGCACACACCAGATTGCATTGCCCTCAACTTACTGCGGTAGGTCTTGGGGACGTGGGCGACTGCCATGCAACCGAACACCCTCAGCATGTCCACCGGCGGCTTCCTCCCAAGCCACCTCTCCAACGGCACCCACGAGTCATCCCCAACCTTTGTGAGTACCCTGTTCCTAGCGACGGTAGCGTGCCGAACAGCATGGGGCCACATGGAGTTGCCCAGCCCAGATTCTATGAGCAGCGCCCTAGCTGTCTCCAGAATTGTCCGGTTCGCCCGTTCTGCTACACCGTTAGACTGTGGGGTGTAAGCCGTGGTCAGCTCCCTCTGGATGCCCTGCTTCTTGAGCCAGGCCGTCATCTCAGCTCCAAGGAACTCACCACCCCGATCTGTCCTAATCCGCTTCACCACACACTCCGCTTGCTTCTCCACGAATGGCAGCCAATCTTCCCGTATCGTAGAGGCGGCATGGTCCTTCTGCTTCAGCGGATATGCCCACATAAGCCTGCTCCAATCATCCACTATGGTCAGAAAGTACCGCTCCCCCTTGTGTCCCTGAACCGGCAGCGGCCCCACCAAGTCCATGCGGACCAGCTCCAACGGCTTCTTGCTCCTGCCAGCCACACTATGGAAGGGGAAACGGGTAAACTTTGAGAGCAAACAGATTTCACAGTTATCATCGGGTGGTTGTCCGTTCAGCTTCAAGCCCTTAACGGCTCCATCCTTCTCCAGCTGCTTCAGCAAAGGCATTGCCACATGCCCCAAGCGTCGGTGTGCCGTTGCCCAATCCGTCTCCCCAGATCTGGCCGACACTTTCACACCAACCCCTCCAACGGCGTTGCACTCCCCCTGGGATGCAGACCCCTCTCCAGCCTGCCCCCCACCATGCCACGCCAATGCCGGCAGCTGCTTTGGATCTGTATACGTCCGTGCTCTCGTGCAGATCCCAAAGCACCCGATTGCCCAGCTGCCCCTTGTAAGTGCGTGCCCCATCCGTGCTAGTGCTCACCCCAGCCTTGCCAAGCTTACGGAGGGAGATGAGGTTGGCCTTGAGTTCAGGAACGAGAAGAACGTCGTGCAGCACCACCGGCTTGCCATCCGCCCCCTTAAACGCGGCTCGTCCGGCACCAGCCACCTTCAGCACGTGTCCAGAGGCGGAGCACACCTCGTTGATCGGTGCAGCGCGTACGTGGTCCAGCAGGTCCTTGCGTGGCGTCATTGTCCAAGCAGCGCTTGTGTCCAACACCCAATAGTTCAGGGGATGCAGCTCTGCTCCAGCCTTAGCAGATGCGTCTCCTTGCTCCCCCTTGTCTCCCATATGAAAGAATTGGCCCGCGGTGCGCTCCTTCTTCTCCGCACCGCCGTTGCCCTTCGGGTTGTTGTCGGACGAATCAGCGACCATGTTGGCGCCGTTTTTCTGGTTCCTCCGCGTGCCGCCATCCTGGTGACGATTCTGGGGGGTCCATCCATCGGGTTTCTTATAGCACAAAAACCAGGGGTGCCCTTCCTTCTCACAATACCAGCAACTCCCTTTCATTTTGCCACCAGCACCCGACTTGCCCCCACGTCCAGATTTCGCCCCGCGACCCCAACCGGTACCTCCTTGTTGGTCGTTGGAGTCGTCGTCTTTCTTTGCACCGCGTCCAGCACCACCGAAGCCACGTCCTTTGCCACGTCGGCTCCCTTGCATCCCGTAGCCGCTGCTGCCGTCGTCTCCACCCCTCAGTTGGCGGCGACGGAAGTCCTCCTCCAGAATCTTCGTCCGCACCCACTCGAGCGTCCACAAGCTCTGGTTCTGCGGCAGGCTCAATCCGCTCGTAAATTGAAGCCACGATTCCGGCAGCAGCGAGAGCATCTTCAAGCACTTTGTTTGCTCCGGGTAGGTGATTCCCGCGGTCGCCAACTTCGCGTAGAGGTCGCGCAATTTGTCCAGGACAGGTTGCACCGGCTCTCCCTCGCTCAGGCGCAACGCGGACAGCTCCCTCTCCAGCATCAATGTTGCAACAACGGAGGTCGGGGCGTGCAGCTCCTTCAACACCGTCCACGCCTTCGGACCGCACTCAACCTCCGGCAGCAGGTGCATGACGTGGTGACGCTGGTTCAGCTCCAAACTCTGCGACATCAAGTAGTAGCCAGCCGAGGCGCGCTCGTCCCAATCTTCCTGAAGGGCGGGGTCACTCGGTCTAGGCTCCTCCCCAATCATTAGTTTCAGCAATCCGATTTGACGGAAATAAAGTTGCATTTTCCAGGCCCAATCATCATAGCCCTCACCATTGAACTTCTCGACGGTGAAGTTTTTCAGCACCTCCTTGATCAGCGAGCCCTGGCTTGTTCGCGCTCCCCTTGGCGCAGAAACACCAGAATCATGGCTGCCGCTACGATCTTGGGCTGAAGATTCACCAGCTACCGCCGAGGTGTTGCCCGCCATAGCTACCTATATCGAGGATCACTATAACGCAGCTCTGATACCAGCTTGTTGGTGTAAGGGCCTAATAAACTCAAGCTATTAAGACTTTATCACACTTAAAACCTCTCCTCGGGGTCACCTCCAAGGGTCCTTGGGTGCCTGGTACAAGACCAGCCCCTATCCTCGGGTCCGAGTTTGTAGAGAGAGGGATCAAGAGGGACTTAGTCAAAACAGCAAGAGTACCTTGAACGTCGCGCAGCGTATCGTGCAGACCGTCGATCGGATTAAGCTGAGAATTTCCTATATCGAAGCTCACTCTAAGAGCTTTAAAATAAGCTAAGTTGCCTCGCGAAAAGTTCTGCCATTACGAAGTTATGGCTCGGACAGCGTTAGCCTAGCGTTGGAGTGCTAGCGTACTAGCGTTGACTCGGGTAGCATTCCGCCGTCGCACCGTGTAGAAAGAAATTCCAGCAAAAAAGAATTCGCTTGAATCAATTTCACTATATTCAGGTACAAACAGAGAAGGAATAAATAGCTCTAGCTAGCAAGGACCTTGGGAATCAACCTGGGAACAACCGGGGATGATCCCAAATAATTCCAAGCAACAGAACCAACCTGGCTGGACAAAATAGCAGGTGATAGGTTGGTGAACAACCTCTGGTTCTGTTTTTCCAACCTGGGAAAACAACAACCAGGTTCAGGTCCTAAAAACAGAACCTGTTTTGTCTTTGCCCAACCAGCCAAATGCTGGTTCCGCTGGTTTCCCCTGGCCCTGTAGCATGCAGATACAGACAAACAACATCCAACCTTCACCTAAATTGTACCCCTATAGTGCCTGCCCTGCTACACTTTAGTCAACCAAACAAAACAGTACAATTTCGAGTTGGATAGAAATGAATCTGCGCAATCATGTAAGTTGAACCGCAAAGCTTCCATCTTGGGTTCCTTTGCGAGCTCGTCCTTTCTGCTTGTACTGTTCATAGCGCGTACAATGTTATGCCGAAGCGCACATTTTGCGAGTACCTGCAAATGCTTCAAGCGAAAATTGCGAAAGCAAACAAACACACAAACATACCATTCACACGCAAATGCATTCGCACACGCATACTCGTACAAACAGACGGCAGGATGTCGAGCAATGTGAATTTGCACCCAACAATGTTCGCCCCAGGAGGGGGAACAGCGTCAACGTAGGTGCCTGTGGACTTCCAGGAAGCCATCTCTGCATCCATAGCTGCCTGCCACTGAGAGGAGTAGGGACCCTCTATCGCCTCCGCGTAAGAGCGCGGAGTCGGGATGTCTAGTGCATCCGGGTCTCCCTCAGGGGCGAGCAGTACAAACGCGAGATGAGGTGAAGCGGCGGCCAGACACTGGAACTCCTCCTGCCTGTCCTCAAGGACGTCCGTGCCTAGGGCACAATCACCCCCGACGGACGGAGGACTGGCAGACTCAGACTCAGCGACAAGACTAGCAGCGTAGTCCAGACGACAGCGCGCAGCAAAGTCAACAAGCTCAGTGACAAGGGCAGACGAAGCAGAAGACTCGAAGGAAGGGTCAGTGACAGCAGTAGGAAGGAGACGCGTGACAGTGGGACTGGCAGCACGAAGAGAGTCCGACTCCGGGTCGGCAAGAGCAGGAAGAGAGGACTCAGGAGGAGAAGGCAAAGGGGCACGCAGAGGAGCAGTGGACGGACGCAGAGACATCTGGTGCATGCCAGGGACAGGAGGAGGACGCAGACGCGAACCGCGACCACTAGTGCGTGCAGGACGAACAGGCGACGCAGGACGAGACGCAGGCTCACGACGCTCAGTAAGACCTTCAGTCGGACCAGCGTAGGGAGAAGGAGCAGGCAAAGGGGAGGCAGGCTGTAGCTGTGACTGGGACTGGACAGGCTGTGGACCCTCGAAGGGAGGCGGAGGAGGACCAGGAGAAGGTGTAAGACCAAGAACCTGCTGCAGGAGTGGAACGAAGTACGGTCGGGGCCGCGTGGCGACGCCAGAAACAGCAGGGACAGCACCAGTACCTCGAGCAGGAGTACCTGCTCCAGAAGCACCTCCAGCTGCACCTCCAGCACCAACACCCTCAGCAGCACCAGCTCCAGGAAAACCCTCAGGCCCAGCAGATCCAGCACCCACAGCACGAGCACCTCCGGGACGCGCGGCAGCAGCACCTTCTGCAGCTGAAGAACCTCCAGCACCAGCAGTACGCCTCCAGCGCCGGGCAAACCACTCACGCAGCTCCTGTGGGGAGAGTGGCTCTCGGCGAGACGAAGCACCTCCAGGCAGAGAACCACCAGGCGAAGAACCTCCAGGCTCAGCACCCTCAGGCAAAGCACCTCCAGGCGGAGCACCCCCAGTCTCAGCACCCCCAGGCTCAGCACCCCCAGGCTCAGCACCCCCAGACTCAGCACCCCCAGGCTCAGCACCCCCAGGCTCAGCACCTCCCGGCTCAGCACCCCCAGACTCCGCACCCCCAGGCTCAGCACCCCCAGGCTCAGCTCCCGCCGCAGCACCAGAGGCACCAGTGACCTTGACAGGCTCGACCGCGTCTACCTGGGACACACCTGAAGGGGCAGGACCCTGAGGGGGGAGGGGGTCTACCGGGGGGGGACCTGGTACCAAGAAGAGCGGGGGCGGGGGGAGGGACGGAGTGCGGTAGGGGAAGAGGCGGTAGTAGGGTACCGACTCATCGAACGTGACGTCCTGGGAGGACAGAACACGTCGAGAGGTGGGGTGGTAGAACTGCCACCCAGGGGCGTCGGGGGGGAACCCCATGAAGACGCAGGGAGCAGCGCGAGGGGACAGCTTGTCCGCAGACAAGTCGCGGACAAACGCCCGAGATCCCCAGACCCGGAACGCCGACGCATCGCCAACCTTCCCCGTCCACAGCAGGGCTGGGGAGGTCTCAGGCCTAGAGACCCTGGGGTGGAGGTTGATCTGATGCGCCGCGTACCTGACCGCAAACGGCCACAGAAAATGGGGGGCAGCCGCATGCATCATAGACGTACGAGCGACGTCCATGACCATGCCAATGCGGCGCTCTGCAATCCCATTTTGCTGCGGTGAGTCCGGAAGCGTGAAGGTCTGGCGGATGCCTCGCGCACGACAGAAGGCACGCAGAAGGCCAGAGGAGAACTCTCCGCCTCTGTCCGAGTGCAGACGCAACACAGGAAAGTCCGAGCCAAAGCTCTGCCTGAGCTGGAGACGAGCTGCGCGGATCCAGTCAATCAGCACCTCAGTGACATCACCCTTGCTGCGCAAGGGGAAGACTGTGGTGTAACGCGAGTAGTCGTCAACCAGCAACAGGAAGTAGCGCTCGTGACCGAGTCCACGGACGCGGACAGGGCCCCACACGTCCATGTGAAGTGTCTGCAACGGAGCCTCTGTCGGAGGAAACTGGGAGGAGTGAGGGGCAGCACGCAGGCGCCCCTCGACACAGGGGACACAGGCAGGGCCAGGGCCCGGAGGAAGGGGAGGGAGGGACCGGGGGAGACCAGACACAAGAAGACGGGAGGCCATGCCTCGGAGCCGAAGCAGAGAGGGGTGGCCAAGGCGGTGGTGCCAGAGGAGAGTCTTGTGAGACAGACGGCGACACGAACAGGGGGCAGACTCAGGACCAGACCTGGACGCTGCAGCAAACACCTGACCAGACAAAGGGACTCTACCAGAATCAGCACCGGGAGGAGAAGCAGTGGTTAGTGTGTACAGGCTCGACCCTGGCTGACGTGTAAACGTAGCCAGGTGGCGACCTGTGCAAGCCTCTGTGCAGTGTGTCACCCGCTGACGAGCAGGAGTGAACTGGTGGACACCCACATCCTGTAGGTCAGCACCACTCACCAGGTTCGTAGAGAACGAGGGGAGGTAAAGCCCAGTCAGGGTGCCAGAGGGAGCCGCCGGACACGGGAGGACTATGGAGAAACGAGACAGGACAGGACCCCCAGAAGGGTCAGCCAGGGACATCGCAACAGGCCGACTCAGCGGCGTGAGAGTGGTGCGGTCCCGAAAGAAGGAGCGAGACGCCCCAGAGTCAAGGGTGAAGGTGTGAGAGGCAGAAGCCGACACAGTACCTGAGAGGGCAGACTCACCAGTACCTGAGAGCACAGACGCACTGGCACCTAGAGCAGCAGCCTCACTGGCACCTGACGCAGCAGTACCAATGCCCGGATCGGGCGGGAAACACCGGTAACAGTCACCATCATCACTAACAGTCACAGCATACATGGCAGCAAGGATAGCATCAAAGTCTAGATCAAAAACAGCTACACCAGCCCTGGACAGCTCTCCCCAGCGGGGGATCTCAGAGGCCTCCGGAAACTGCTGGCGCCAAGCGTCGGTCAAGCGGGCAAAGCAGCGACGAGCGGTGTGGGTGCCCCCACACTGCTCACCCGCGCGGTCGCCGGTGCGAAGGACGTAGGTGCAGGGACCGAACGCCCCACCACGCTGACGCTGCGAGTACCACTCACGGAGCTGATGAGGGGCGGGGACGTCGCGAGAGCGCTGTTGCTGCTGCTGCTGGCGCTGACCACCCCTAGTGCCACTCCGCTGGGACGAGCCACTCCGACCACCTCCACCACCGCCACCTCCGCCCCCGCCGCCACCGCTACCCTCGCCCCCGCCGCTCCCACTGCCACCTCCGCCCCCACCTCCGCTGCCACCTCCGCCTCCACTGCCGCCACCAGTACCTCCACTCCCGGCTCCACCCCCACCGCCACCCCCACTCCCCCCGCCGCCCCCACCTCCTCCGCCACCGCCCCCGCTAGCTCCACCCGCTCCCTTGCCCCCCTTGCCCGTGCCAGAGCGGCGCCTACCGCTGGGGGCAGACGCCGCACCGACCGACTCTAAACCAACGAGGTCGGCCGCAGTAGCAGAGGCGACAGAGGGTAACAGGGGGGAAGGAGAACACCCCTCAAAGACGGGGGTGCGCGGGTCACCACGAGAGGCCCCTACAGCGACTATGCTCTTCTCGGCCGCTAGCAGGGACTTCTCGAGGAGGTCGACAGTGAGGGTGGTGGGACAGACAGAGAGAAACTGGTCCCTAACAGCACGAAGGGACTCAGGGAGACGGGTGACTAGAAAGTAGAGGGTGATGTACATGGGAGGGGGGTTTTCAGAGAGGAAGGCAGCAGGAAGCGCAGCTCGGTAGCAAGTGTCACTAGCGCGAAGGTGGGTAAAGAGGTCAGTGACTGTGGGAAAGGCAGCAAGGTCAGGGAAGAGGTACGGTAGCATGAGGCGGCTCAGTGTAGCAGTGCAAGGGGAGGAGTAGCGCGCAACTACAGCGTCGTACAAGGCCTGAGCGGTTTTGCACTGACTAAAGTGTGTACGCTCGGAGGAAGGGAGGTGGCGACGCACAGCAAGACGTGCAGCAGCATCGCGTGTGGCCCACTTGGAGCGAACAGTGGGGTCAGCATCAGCAGGAGGGGCAGGGACAGCGCCAGAGACAAAGTCAAAGAGAGAAACCTCATCGATCGCATCGCACAGTAAGTACAGCTGCAGGTCCTCAATGCAGACTGCAAAGTCAATGGCGCGACCCTCAGTGTCAAAAGTCAGGACACTGGGGGTGGCCATTGTAGCAGCTGACAGTCTCACCGGGCAGGAAGAGTTGGGTAGCACAACGGCACAGCAACACGGCAGTACAGCAGCTGCGCCGGCCCAGGAGCAGTGGGAGCCCCACAGGAGCAGAAGATCGGCTCCTCGGGCGGCTCGGGCGGCTCGGGCGGCGTGGGCGGCTCGGGCGGCTCGGGCGGCGTGGGCGTCTCGCGGGCGGCTCGCGGGCGGCTCGCGGGCGGCTCACAGGCGGCAGCACGGGCGGGTGGTGCGGCACGTGGACAGCTGCACAGGCGGCTGGGGCGGCGAGCGGGCGGCTCACGGGCGGCTGCACGGGCGGCCGAGGCGGCTCACGGGCGACTGGGGCGGCTGCAGGAGCTGCTGGGGCGGCTCGCAGGCTGCTCACGGGCGGCTGCACTGGCGGCCGCACGGGTAGGTGCACGGGCGGGTGCACGGGCGGCCGCACGGGTAGGTGTACGGGCAGGTGCACGGGCGGGTACACGGGCGGGTGCACGGGCGGGCACACGGGCGGCTGCACGGGCTGCTCGTCGAGCGGCGCTAGGGCGGCGCGTGGGCGGCGCGTTGGGCAGCGCGACGGGCGGCATTAGGGCGGGCAGCGGGCAGCGCTACGGGCGGCGCGTTGGGCAGCGCGACGGGCGGCGCTAGGGCGGCGGCACGGGCAGCGCGATGGGCTGCGCTAGGGCGGCACGTTGGGCGGAGCTAGGGCGGCGCGTCGGGCAGCGCGTCGGGCGGCGCTAGGCTGGCGCGTCGAGCGGCGCTAGGGCGGCGCTAGGGCTTGGGCGTCGGGCAACGCTGTGGGCGGCGTGTCGGGCGGCTAGCGCTAGAGCAGGCAGCGGACGGGCGCTAGGGCGCTAGGGGCGGCGCTCACGTTCGAGGGCGGGCGGTGCGCTAGCGGCTAGGGCAGAAAAAAAAGACGTTTCCAGGTGGTGGGCCCTAAGCACAGGTCCCACAGGGGAACCTGCTCTGATACCATGAGAAGAAGTGAACGAGAATGAATGAACTATGAATGAAGTGAGTACAAATATGAAACCCTAATTGGGTTGTACCCCCTATGGGATACCCCACTATAGCCTACACAAATAAGTAAGCTATAATGTTCTGACAGGAAGGATAGGGTACAAGTAGTGAGGATCAAGACAAATCATGTACCCTCTAAGAACTACCTCATTGCAGCCTATGTAAATGATATAAACATTTGACACACCCCCATAAACTAAGTGCGGGGCATCAAAACAAAACTTAAGGAACGAATAGTTACAAGACCAATCGAGAAAAGCAACAATGCAAAACTCAAGGTGGATCACGAAGTCACCACACAATCTGAGCACAAGCAGGTAGGCAAGAAGCTAGACAATAATAACCGAGGGCCAACGTCAACTAGGCCTAGCTGCGGATAGAACCTGTGGTGGTCACCAGGCGGAATGGCCTTGGTAAAGATGTCTACCGTATTGGCCTCTGACTCAACGAAGTCCAAGCGTGCCTGGCCGCGTCGCTGCAACTTTCGCAAAAGAAAGTACCTCACGTCGATGTGCTTCACTCTGCTCTCCAGTCCAGGCTCTTGACACAGGAGGATCATGGCCTTGTTGTCAGAGAATAAGGTCGGTGCAGAGCGAGGCCGCTCACCAAGGTCGGCAAGCAAGAAAGTCAACCAGCGAAGCTCCTGTGCAGCCATGGCACCGGCGTAGATCTCTGCCTCAGCACTAGACGAAGCCACAAACGACGAAGACGACGATGATGACGAAGCCACAGACCGACTGGTGTGCTGCTGCTGCTACTGCTGCTGCTAGGTGGTTCACAGATATTAAAAAATGCTTGTATTACTTTCTTATACTCAATCTATCTTGCCCTCACATACTAGTGCAAGATGGTTCAACACTTGTCATTAAACGCTTCCGCAACTACAATATTTCTACTCAGAGTTTAGCCTTAGTAAAGATCCTAAGGGCTTTTCCCTGACAGAGTTCAACATGGTATGAGAGCTAACAAGGCAAAACTCCACTTCGTTCCAACTCCTATAACATCGGAAGGCATGGCAAGACAGAAGGACAGAAGCTCCTCTAACGGCTCTCCCGGCACTACTACTCCACCTACAGCAACAACACCAGCAGCTGAGTCTACTAAGACTCCCGCGAACCAAGCGACAGGCTTCGATCCAAGTATGATGGAGAAATTCTTCTCCTTCATGTCCTTCTACGAACAGCATCAGCAAGCGGCACCTGCGCAGTCAAATATCAGCAACAACAACAACGACGTTACGCCCATGAGTCTCCACGGTTCATCCTATGCGCGCAGAAACCAGCAGCAACCCACCTTCGCTCCGTACGAGCCTCAACCTGGCTCGATCAGCTTCATGCCGCACTAGCAGTCTCAACCTGGACAGGAGAAAACTGTTGGGTGCAAATTCATATTGCACGACATCCTGCCGTCTGTTTGTACGAGTATGCGTGTACGAATGCATTGGGGTGTGAATGGAATGTTCGTGTGTTTGTTTGCTTTCGCAATTTTTGCTTGAAGCATTTGCAGGTACTCGCGCATTGTGCGCTTCGGCACAACATTGTACGCGCTATGAACAGTACAAGCAGAAAGGACGAGCTCGCAAAGGAACCCAAGATGGAAGATTTGCGGTTCGGTTGAATTGATTGTGCAGATTCAGTTCTATCCAACTTGAAATTGTACTGTTTTGTTTGGTTGACTATAGTGTAGCAGGGCAGGCACTATAGGGGTACAATTTAGGTGAAGGTTGGATGTTGTTTGTCTGTATCTGCTTGCTACAGGGCCAGGGAAAACCAGCGGAACCAGCATTTGGCTGGTTGGGCAAAGACAAAACAGGTTCTGTTTTTAGGACCTGAACCTGGTTGTTGTTTTCCCAGGTTGGAAAAACAGAACCAGAGGTTGTTTACCACCTGCTGTTTTGTCCAGCCAGGTTGGTTCTTTTGCGTGGAGTTATTTGGGATCATCCTTGGTTGTTCCCAGGTTCATTCCCAAGGTCCTTGCTAGCTTGAACTATTCATTCCTTCTCTGTTTGTACCTTGATATAGTGAAATTGATTCAAGCAAATTTCTTCCTTCCTGGAATTTCGTTTCTACGCGGTGCGACGGCGGAATGCTACCCGAGTCAACGCTAGTACGCTAGCGCTCCAACACTAGGCAAACGCTGTCCGAGCCATAACTTCGTAATGGCAGAACTTTTCGCGAAGCAACTTGGTTCATTTCAAAGCTCTTGGAGCGAGCTTCGATATAGGAAATTCTCAGCTTAATCTGATCCACGGTCTGCACAATACGCTGCACGACGTTCAAGGTACTCTTGCTGTTTTGACTAAGTCCCTCTTAATCCTTCTCTCTACAAACGCGGACCCGAGGATAGGGGCTGGTCTTGTACCAGGCACCCAAGGACCCTTGGAGGTGACCCCGAGGAGAGGTTTTAAGTTTGATAAAGTCTTAATAGCTTGAGTTTATTAGGCCCTTACACCAACAAAAATACTGCATGCACTTCAGGTTCATTCACAGTTCGCACACGTTTTGAAACTTCAGACATCAACAGCTTTCGATGGGAAGGACTTCTATACCTGGTCATTCGAATTTGAGCTAATGATGAAAGGCGCGCAGGTTCTTGGATTCTTCAACGGGACACTGCCATACACAACACACGGAACACAATACGACATGCAGCAGTACACGTATCAGTCAATGATGGCTTACACGATCCTGCTGAGGAATCTAACTCGAAACCAGCAGCAGAATATCCGCTCTTATCGGGGATACGGCAACTCCGCCGAGCTCGTGTACAACCTCTTGAAGAACCTATATCAAGCAACAGACAGCGTCAATCAGAGTCGGTTAATGGCACAGCTGACAATAGTGCAAATGAAACCCGGCGAAAGGGGGATGGCATATATCAGCCGCTGTCGCGAACTGCGCGACAAACTCGTTCGATGCGGAGGATCGATATCTGAAGAAGCCTTTGTCACAGTCTTCATCACTGGACTTGGTCCTCATTGGCGCTCGAGCTATTCTCCGAGCCCACGGGAAAATCTTTGAAGCGGCACTTTGTGCCCAAATACACGCCGAACAACAAGACATGGACCTGCACGAGGAACGACACAAGAAGAAAACATCAGTATCCAAATTCGCATTCCACACCGAGCGGCGCTTCAACAACTCCAACCGATAGATTAAACAACAACAGAAGCAGCACGTACCACTGTTCTGTCATCTCTGCAAGACGCCTGGACACCCCCGTACACACGGTCCAGGTCTGCGACAGTCAACGACACCACAACGACAACTTTGACCTTCAAGCAGCCAAGTCGCCACAACACAAGCGCACCCTACTCCTCAAGTCCAAGCTTCAACAATGTCAACAACGCAACCTGCACAAGGAACAAGGAACGTCGCGAGCTGCATGACAAGACTGACTGACTCCTGCATCACTGAATCACCAACGCACTACTGACCGGAAGAACAATTCGATGAAGGTACCGCTCGCCGCGAATCACTACAACCGAACCCGACGACGCAGCCATCGCCCAAAGCAAGCCGTCCGGGAAAGACACCTGGTTCTTGGACAGCTGTTGCGGACAGCATATGTGCTCCTCGGGTCGTTTCGTTCAACGAGAACACCAACTTCAGCGCGAGGTCGTCATCACCGTCGCCAACAATCAGAACCTGCGTACATGACAACAAGGCATCGTTCAACTTCAGATAAGAGAAACTAATGTCATATTGCAAATGTCAAAGGTTTTAATCGAGGAGGGACTCGGCTAGAACTTACTCAGCGTCAGCCAGCTGATGTCGAAGAGGATCCACCTCGAAGCAGACAGCACCACCCAGGAATTCAAGTTGTATCACGGGAAAGGAGGACTCTACATCCTATATGTTGGGTGCAAATTCACATTGCACAACATCCTGCCGTCTGTTTCTACAAGTATGCTTATGCGAATTCATTTGGGTGTGAATGGAATGTGCGTATGTTTGTTTCCTTTCGCAATTTTCGCTTGAAGCTTTCGCAGGTACTCGCGCAATGTGCGCTTCGGCACAACACTGTACGCGCTATGAACAGTGCAAGCAGAAAGGACGAGCTCGCAAAACAACCTAAGATGGAAGCTTTGCGGTTCAGTTGAATTGATTGTACAGATTCAGTTCTATCCAACTCGAAATTGTTCTGTTTTGTTTGGTTGACTATAGTGTAGCAGGGTAGGCACTATAGGGGTACAATTTAGGTGAAGGTTGCATGTTGTTTGTCTGTATCTGATTGCTACAGGGCCAAGGGAAACCAGCGGAACCAGCATTTGGCTGGTTGGGCTAAGACGAAACAGGTTCTGTTTTTAGGACCTGCACCTGGTGGTTGTTTTCCCAGGTTGGAAAAACAGAACCAGAGGTTGTTTACCAACCTACCACCTACTGTTCTGTCCAGCCAGGTTGTTTACCAACCTACCACCTGCTGTTCTGTCCAGCCAGGTTGGTTCTGTTGCTTGGAAATATTTGCGATCATCCCTGGTTGTTCCCAGGTTGATTCCCAAGGTCCTTGCTAGCTAGAGCTATTTATTCCTTCTCTGGTTGTACCTGGATATAGTCAATTTGATTCA